ACATGTATATGGCAATGACCCTGGTTTTTGGGACTGAAAGCAAGAGCGAAAGAAAACCTCTATATATGTAAAAGTGTCAAAGAGGTGAAAGAAAAAAAGTTGTGAACTTGAACGCAAGGCATAGAAAATAAAAGGAGAGAACCCAGAGCCCTCATTCATTCCCTCGTGAGCTGTGTCCCTTCTCTGCAGGGTCAGGGTGTACTCAATAACGCTACCCTACCTTTTTTCTTACATCGCCAGTTGCCAATAAACCAGTGGCCTTTCTCACTTTCAGTTTCAGTTTCCATCCTCCCACTTCCCTTCTTTTCGCTTCCCAAAGACCAACCTCAAATACCCAATCTCTATCTATTCAATCTCAGAAGATCATACTCTCTGCCGAGTTCTCTCAGTCTGGGCGACAACATGAACTTCCATCCATATCTGCACGCAGGGTTGATTCAGAAGCTAATAGTTTTAGCCCTTCTGTCCCTCTTAGTCGCCGGAGAGAAGAACCGGACCACCAGCATCCTCGCCGAGAAACAGCCTCTAGGATCTCAACAACGGCAACAACATATTCACCGACTGCAACTAGTGCAACTTCACCACCCATTCGACATGTTCTTCTCAAACAAAAGGAGGGTTCCCAACACCTCAGATCCTCTCCACAACCGTTGAAGTGTATACTGGTATTATTGTTGTTCTTCTAGTCTTGTCAAGCCTCTCCTTCAATTGATTGAAGATGAATTTGTTATGGTTCTTGGTCTTCCCTGTTGGAGAAAAGAAAAAGAAAATGTGAAGGAGATTTTGAGCCCCATACAACGGCAGCTTTGGGTGAGTACAGTCTTTTGCTCTTTGTATATTTTATTAATGTTGTCTCGGTGCTTTTTCCTCCTAAGTTACATTTTTATTTTGAAACTTTTATTTTTTTCTATGGGTTCTTTTTCCTTCCATAAAACTCTATATGGTTCTATACTCTTAGTCGTTAATATATTACCATCAAGTTTTTAAAAAACTGGACCGGACAAGAACCTTTTGGGAACCGTTCCTGGTTGAACGGTCAGACCATCCAATTTGAACGAAAAAGTTAAAATAAAAATGACCAAAAACTATTGTTAATTAAATTGATGATTCGACTGTTCGAATGGGCGAATTGCTAATCAAATCAACCATTTTTGGCCTAAGAGTGGTTTTAGGGTGAAATGGTCCGACCATCTGGCATCTTTACTGTCCCCGTTTGCTTCTATTCCACCTTTTTTTTTTTTTTTATGCTCTCGTGCGGTGGTCTATTTCGTAACTTTGAAGATCCCCTCATACTTCAAGGCCTTTCCTTTTCCTTCTCCGTGTACATAAAATAAAATAGATAAAATACCCAACCATACAGTTAGACAATGACAAGCTACAGGGCCAAGTCTTTTGGTGTATTGTGTTGCAGTAGTAAGATTTATAAGAGGGTAAAATGGCAAATGGATTAATAATAGAGTTGTGATTGTAAAATTTGCAACCCAGAAACAAATTATAGGTGACATATTGTGTATTGAGGGGATCATACGTGTTTATAGTAGTTATACACAAGAAATGGATATCACAAGTTTAAATTATAGACCACTATTCTATATAAACTCCTTCATTCCTTGCACCTTTCATTCTTTTTTATTGGGTTAAGTATTAGACTCACTTAATTCAAAAAAAAAAAAAAAAAAAACAAAAGCGAGAGAATTGAGTCTATAATCAGTTCATAGTTCATTGAAATGAGTGGGACAATTAATATAATTTTTTTGTTTTTTGATTGAGATGCCAATTGATGACCTACTAGACAAATTTTATTGTGATTGACCACATTTTTGGGCCCAGTTCTTCCATATGTCACCAGCATCCATACAGTCTATGGAGTAGACCTTGTGATGGACTTGGCCGAGTGAGAGACAAAGATATATAGACGCGCGCGCTCTCTCTCAAACTCTTTCTCTCACATGATGAACATAAGTCGAGACAATAACCATTCTCGATTTGGATATGCAAATCTTTGATAGTAATAAGTGAACCTCCTTTCTACTATTTGGAATTATGCAATAGATTTGCTAGGCGGCCCCCATAAAAAAAAAAGGTAGCTTCAACAGAAGCAGCAATATAGGTTGGCGAAGCCTAAGACGATGAAAACGGGTCCAAGTAATTATGGTTGGGTGGGTTCCACAAACCATCCAAAAATTAAAATCAACCTCGATGGCCCCGGAGGAGAGCGAATTCCATCGGAGGGATGCTAAAACTCTTCCTTGGGGCAACCGCCATAGATATTAGAGGCTATTCCAGTGTCGGAAGTAATTAAGTACCCGTTTGAACGAACTCTCTCTCGCCACCGCCTTTTGACTTTCACAAATTTTGATACATGAAAAGTTCAAAAGCAAAGTTAATTTGGTGAAAGCAGGAAGAGACCAGGAACGAGGCTGTTGTTCTCTGAATTTAGGATCCGTTTGGAAGGGCTGTAGTCTTGTCTTCATTGAATTGCTTTTACAGTTTACTGACATGCTAACGAAGCTTTACCGGTAATGGTAAGTGGTAACCCCCTATTTTTACTGGAAGACAGCAATTTTGGGCTTTTTGGAGTTTTTACAAAGCACTGATTGTGGGCTGTCCGAATGAAGCCCATTACATAAAGCCAAGAAGAGTCGCTACCTGAAAAGCCTCTTAAGTCCCAAATGCGCACTTATAAGTCTCTTACTTAAAGCTTTGCGTCAGTCTTTTGGGTTCATTTTAATGTTTGTCTCTAATTTTCAGATAAATCAAACAGAACCTACGTAACTACGGATGTGTTGATCCTGCGACCATCTCCACTACTTGGCCATTGGCTTCTCATAGTTGTTATTACAAGGACCCTCCTGTACTTTAATTTAGAATAAATATTTCCTTCAACTTTAGCCGTTAGACAAAGGCCTACCTTGTTAGTGTTCCATTAGTTAAGTTCGAAAAAAAAAAAAAATTATTTAACTGCTGGATTCGACTATGATATGAAAATCATATAATATCTGAAAAACGATGTGTTTTTAAATTCCTAAATTACCTTTTTTATATATTTATTTTTAAAAAATAAGCCAATACGAAACAGTTTTGCATGTGAATGTATGTTATTGATGTCTATCGTTGGTTGTATTAAAAGGTTTCCAAAACACCTATTACCAGCACACTTTTCTCCCTTCTCCCTTTCTATACCATCTTCTCTTAAAAATGATGTCCTAACGCTAGAGGCTTCTAGTTTATATTGTGAGCAGGATTTAGACACTATTTCGAGAGTTTGTCTAACCAGTTTCTCATGACATTGCGATTATAAGTTCTATAATTTCGTTCCAAAATTTTCATTGTTAAGTCTCTTTATTTTTTCCCTTTCAAATTTTATTTTTTGGGGGAAATTTCAAATGGAGAGGAGATGAGCAGTAGGGTTCTCTCTAGGGTTTATTAGTGGGGGTTTCTCTGATATCGCCGACCACAGCAAGATTCGTGGTGGAGAAGAACAACTTTATGACATCTTCTGACAGCATAAAATGTACCCACTAGTGCCATTGGGAATTTTGGAATCTCTCAATATGGAGGGAGCATGGCTGGGACGGTTGTTTTCATGAGTACAGCTAGGATTTTTTATTGAGGGAGTGGGGGGAGAGGTAAAATCTAAAAAACATGGATAGGAGGTGTTAAAAGTTAGAAAACGTGAGTATAAGGATTAAAATATAAGTAGAACTTAAATAGATTTTATGGAAATTTTGAAGGAGAACATGAAGGGTTGCAAGGAATTTGATGATTTCCATATATCATTCAAGGCAAAGAGCAAAGCTCTCCCAATATTTGATCTTTGAGCATGACTAGGTATGAGATATTGGAATTGCACAGTTCATTCTAATTTAGAGTTTTTAGATTGTATCTTTTATAATTTGTTATTATTTTGGCTCAAAAGTTTTAACGAGTATAACCAATTCTGTATTTATGGTGGGGTAGTTTTTTTAATGGATGGCCACCACCGATGATTAGTATAAAGATTATTGGATTGGATTGATAATTTAAGGCTATGTTTGGTTTGAAGGAAAAGGGCAATGAAAAGAAATCTTAATGGATATTTTCATGATTTAGCGCATTCCATCATCTGACTAAACGGTTAAGGGATTATTTGTCTTATATAAAAATTTAGGGGTGTCTTTGTTTAAAGTAAAGGGGGTCTTTATCACTGACCCCATAAAACAAGGGGTCTTTGTAATTATTCCTTAATTATCTAAGATTTTTAAGAAACTCAATTTAGGGTAGGACGTATTTTCCTAGAAAACAATTGAAAAGCAACCACTGAATAACTGCTCAAGTCAATATTGCTGCAATCCTTTGCACTCGTTAAATACTCTACGGATTCTATAGGTCGACGGTGGGATTTTTCTTAAAAAAAAAATAAACAGCAGATCTGAACTCCCTCGATAATGAGTATAACATTCGGACTTCATTGCCACTGGACCAACGTGCGGTGCATCCATGCTACTATAACCCCATTACCTCAATTATCAAAAGAAGCCAGTTTAGGCTTTTTTTTTTTTTGGAAATTTCCTATTATAATAAATTTAATCTAGAAAGAAAGAAATAGTGAATTATTTCAAAACAAGAGTCCCAATCGTGTAAATGTTATTGACAAAATTAAACATATTGGATGGGAGCAAAGTCTAGCACAATAACAACAGATTGATCAACATGCATTAATCAAAGTCAGGAGAGTCTTTCTTCACAGGGTGGTCAACTAGTGCAACTTTTTGTGGATGGATAATCAAGGGTAGTTAATGAATGAAATTACGTTTTCTTTGCTAAAAAACAATAATTTTGATTTATTCGGTTTATTTTTGTTTAATGTGAAAAAGACACATAATATCAGAAATATGTCTAATTTTTTATATTTTTATTATTTAATTTATGACATCATGTATTGTCCTGAAAAACTGAACCGATTATCCGCCACCCCGATCCATTTCCGGTTCGGTTTAAGACGTTGCTCGTCATTGAAAGTTTGAAAGCCGAAGAAGCGAGAGGAGCAATCATTCTCTAGCCCCAATTTCCCCTGAAACGGAAAAGTGAAAATAAGGAGAGGGTATCATAATGGAGAAAGCATTACGAGTGTACGGTGAGGTACTGCGGCTGGTTCGGCGGTTGCCAAAGGACACCAGACCTTACTACTCCAAGTACGCAAGAGAAAACTTCGTCAATTACAGAGATGCCGACACCAGCGATGCCCAGGCCCTCGACGAGCTCTTTCATAGGGCTTATGTTCATGCAGCTTGGGTTCTCAAGAAGGTCTCTCTCTCTCTCGCACACACACACACATGTCCAACTATAAATCTATTCTCTTCGTCGATTATATCTGCTTTCCTCTCGTTTGCAGTATTCGGTGGACCAAGCAGCTGCAAATAAACTGAAAGATATCTGCTGCAAATCATAACTCTGGAGACCTGCTAAATGTTCGTTGATATTCCCCAATAAAGATAATGGAAGCTGATTGTTGCTTTTCTTTGCATTTCGTTCAATATACAACCACGACTTTTGCCATGTTTAATAATATTTTAGCATTTCGTCTTGAATTATGCTTTATGGAGTTATAAATTAGATACAGCGAAAGGTTATGACATTCTTATCGGACTAGATCTTTCTTGCTTAATTAGTTTACATTTGTTTTGTGACAATGCTTCCTTGAATTTAACATTGCAGTTTTTGATTCATTTGATTCGCAATTTCATTTCTAGGAGCCAACAAGCTTTATTTATAGCTCATCAGTCTGTCTGGAAAGGAGGACATAATCATATAATTCTCAATACCTGAAGGAAGGTGTATGGATATTCAGATGACTTATTTGTATTGGCATAATCAAAATTGGGTAAAATCCCAATAGGGCTGTAAACCGATTGAATCCGGTATGCCTGGATCCTGAAGTGATAGGCTGATTCGATTTAAATTTTGTCTATAAATTTGGATTGGAGGATTAAGGCTGTGTTTGGTTTGAAAGGGAGCCATCACAAGGATGATACTAAAACCAGAAACGCATGCATTTTTATGGTTTAAGATAATGAATTCAATGCTTGTTATATTATGATTCAATGTGCATTCTATTTTGAGAGACCAAAGTCAGCCCCCCCAACAACGTCCCATAGCACATCCCGCCGTCTATTGGGAACATCTCTGATAATCTTAGAAATGGTGATGTTATTATTGAGAGATGTTTCTAATACACGATGGAAATGTGCTGTGGGATTTTATGGGGGACAATGTTGTGGGGAGCGAACTCCTATTTTAAAAAATGCACTCAAGTGTTCAAACGACCTGTATTCATGTTAGGGTTGTTTACGGGTCGGATTGGGTCGGTTTATTGTAGTTTTTTCAATCGACCCGACTTGGTCGGGTTACCTGACATAGAAATCGAAACCGATTCAGTGTTAAGCAAAACTGACCTGGTCGGTTTGAGTCGGGTTGGGTCAGTTTGGGTCGGTTTCGATTCTAAGTTCATCCCTGTGATAAAATCTTGCTAATTTTAAAAACAGTCATAAATTGAACATCATTTCAGCCATCTCCTATCATAAAATTTAAATGAAAAGTTAATCACAAAAGTTGTTCATTAATCACTATTCACTAATCCAANACATCATTTCAGCCATCTCCTATCATAAAATTTAAATGAAAAGTTAATCACAAAAGTTGTTCATTAATCACTATTCACTAATCCAAAGTTTCTTGCAACCATTCAAAAACTAGGTGGCCTAATGGGCTTTGGAACTTCATGTTTGAACTAGGAACTAAGTCGATTCGGTTTTCACACAAGAAAACCAAAACCAACCCGAATAATCGATTTAGGAATTTGCACAACCCGAAACTGACCCGTGCTGATGAAAACCCGACTGACTCGGGTTGGGTCGGTCCGGATTGGTTGGTTTGGTCGGATTGGGCCTTCTTATGAACAGCCCTAATTCATGCAATTTTTTTTTCCTGCCGGGTGCTGTAACCACAAACTGTTTAATATATATTGATAACTTATCAAGAACAGAATTTGTGTTGATATGGATCCCGGGTTCCAGCCCGAACCCGATCCATCACGACAACCCGTAACCAGGCCCATAGCGTTTGCATGGAATTTCCACGTGGGGGAATCTTTTCGGTTACAGCCTCACAGGAGGATAATTTCTGTTAGCAGGAGCGTATTCAACGCCAGAACAATACCTATCATTGTTGCCAGATGTGACGGCCTCTTGGCTACGGCCCTGTTTGACATCAATTCTGCTCAGAATCTAAGTGATGTAGTCCCTTTTTACAAGCAGGAAATGGTATCTGCACGTGAATTTATTTAAAGCGTGCCAATTTTATTCAAATGAAGGCATGTAGCGGAAGGTCACGTGTGCTTTTTATAAGGATAAAATACAAAAGCCTTCCCTGAAATTTCTGATAATCATAAAAATCTCTCTTGTAGTTTTATTTTAGTAAAACCTTTCCATTATTTGTAAAAAATCGACATAAACCTCCCTTCCGTCAATAATATTGTCGGAAAAAATGATAGTTTTTTTCAAAATACCTGCTTTACCTGTTTTACGACTTAATGTGTATCTGATCCTCGAACACTATTCATCATCTTCAACTGCTTCGCTGGGTGTTGCCCTTCTTCCACGGAGGTAAATCTGTTGCACCCGCAGGCTCAACCTCAGCCTCAGTCACAAGTCTTCATCGATGTATGGTTCTCACTCCCATCAGATGGAATTCCAATGAACTGCAAACTTTGGTCGATGGACACTAGTAAGTTTATGATGAAACTAGGACACAGGTTTTGTTTCTTTATGCTTCCTCTCTAACCCCTTTTCGTTTTTCTTTTAACAGATGCAGAGATTTCGAGGAAGATGGGCGTCAACTATGGTCAGCTGGGCAACAACCTCCCTTCACCATCTCGATCCATTGAGCTCATCAAATCCCTGAAAGCAGGTCACGTCAAACATGCAAACCCATATATTATGAAGGCCCTCGAAGGGACCAACATCCAAGTATCAATCATGGTTCCCAATCAACTAATCTCCAACATTTCTTCAAGCCAGTCCCCCGCAAACGAATGGGTTCGAACCAATGTCGTTCCTTTCTACTCCAAAACCTTGATTCATTACCTCCTTGTCGGCAATGAAATCTTCAACTTCTCCTCCGACCAAGATCGGCAAACATGGTACGATCTCGTCCAAGCAATGTGCCGACTCAAGTATTCGCTCAAAATCCACAACATCAGAAACATCAAAATTGGGACTACAACTTCCATGGATGTCCTTCAGTCGTCCTTCTCACTGTCGAACGGAACGTTTCGGTCTGATATCTCCATATCGGTGATGAAGCCTCTGTTACAGTTCTTGAACTGAACCAAATCCTATTTCTTCCTTGACTTCTACCCTGACTTCCCCCGGTCCGGCGATCCCACGAACATTAATCTCGACTATGCGCTTTTCAAAGGGAACCAGACCTACACCGACCCGCGAAGCGGATTAACCTACACCAACCTCCTTGACTAGATGCTTGACTCGGTTATCTAAGCCATGACCAAGCTTGGGTTCCCGAACGTTCGGCAAGTAATCGCCGAAACGGGGTGGCCCAATGCCGGAGACGTCGATTAGATCGGAGCGAACATCTTCAACGCAGCTACATATAACCAAAATCTAATTCGGAGAATGACGTCCAAACTAGCAATCGGAACTCCGGCCCGTCCAAGTGTAGTAATACCGACATTCATTTTCGCGTTGTACAGTGAGAACCAGAAGGGTGGACCAGGAACTGAACGGCACTGGGGATTTCTGAATCCGAATGGAACCTCAGTTTATGAGGTCGATTTGACTGAAAAACGACCGGAATTCGACTAATAGAACATGGCTTCGAGTTTCGACCAGTGGGAGAAGGATCCATTGTTCTCCGCCGCAGAGGAAGTTCAGCCGCGTCTCAGTGAAGCGGCAAGCGTAGCTAGTTGCTACGGGCTGGAACAGGATCGTTCCTGGATGCTAATAGCGTGAACCATGCCGTCACCATCGAAGAAATGGTGACCGGCAACGGTCTCAAACAGGGGATCGGCGTGAACCATCCAAGGTTTTGGTTTCGTCGGGAGAGGGTGCCTTTTGCTGCAAAAAGGGTAAAATAGGTATTTGAAAGGGTAAAATACGTCAATCTCAGTAAGACCAGGAAAATCATTAACGTGTGAAAAGGTAAAATAGGTATTTGAAAAGATTCGATCATGTTTTTAACGTTTTCCGTCATGATTATTGATGGACGGGAAGTTTTTGTCAAATTTCTTAAAAGTAGTAGAGAGGTTTTTATTAAACTAAAACTATTGGAGAGGATTTTATGATTGTCAGGGAGATTTTTGTATTTTACGCTTTTGTAAACATTGTTTGAGGCATGTGTGAGAGGATGTTGGGTTGATGTGGAAAATTCGGCGGCTTCTGCGCGTGGGCTCATTGCTGGCCAAGCTGTTTGGGCACAATTTACTGTGCCAACACCAATCATTGGTCTAGACGGACGAAATCAAGGGACCCTGGTGGTGTTCAACTTAAATTCGGGAGTTTCAAAAAACAAGCTTAAAGAAAATTTCCAAGCTTTTGTATGAATTACCAACGAATTCATAATGGATTCCCTGGTAGCTAGATGCTTCTTCACCATCTGCGTCATCATCCCATGTCCCACTCCTCGTCCCCCGATTGCTACTCTCTTCGGGAATCCCAGCATTAGAGACAGATCGAGATTGCTCGGTTCAAGGCTGAGCCCGACCACCTCATCGAAGCCCATCCGCTTTGATGACATCATTGATCGGAAATACAGATCTTGTTTCTGCTTCTGGGTGTTTGTACATGCCACTTTCACCTCAGAAGCTTTATCGGAGTCAGGGGCCAGCAGATAGAATTCTGGCCACTGGATTTGCCATATAGGAGGCAAAGTGCTTCTTCGAAGGATGGCCTCCACCGCCACTTGGCAGATGTACCAGTTTACAGGATGGACACTTTGGTAGTACGACCGCAAACTTGGTATAGAAATGATTGGAAGAGAGGTAGAATTTGAGACATGCATTTAACGATTCATGAGATAAAACTACTAAGTGGGAGGTAGAATAAAATAAAAATGAAGCCCGATCTCAATGACTCAATCCATTGAAGGCAGAGACAGAGAATGCAAGATTCGCTGTACCCCTTTTGAAAAACTCAAAAGCCATTGCAACTCATCTCTTCTTCTTGAATGAGTGTTGATTATCTTCATTTGCTCTTTTAGTTTCGATACTGTAACAAGTAAATTTATTAATTCTGAACAACCTCCCAAAGGTTTTGTTCTTGTCCATTTTTTTTGTCATAGTGAGATTCACATTCTGGCTCAGTGTGATTTCTGGGACAGTGGGTCTTTTTTATGTTTTCTTTCGAATTTTTCTGTTTTATGCTTTATCTTGAGAAACATGTTATTTTTATGTTTTATGCTTTATTTTTTAACAACTTTCAAATTGAGAGAGCTTAAAACAGATAAAAATAACATGTTTTTTGAATAAATCTGTACAAAAAAAAAGTAAAAAACATTTTATCAATGATAGGTTGTTTCTACACATGCAAAATACTGAAGAAGATTGATCAGGACTCAAACATCCCAATGTTTTATTTATATTAAATATATATTATTATATTGTTTCTATATATCAAAACATATTTAAAATATTATTTATAATTTAATTTTTTATTTATTTTAAATAATTTTTTTTAAATACTGTTATTTAAAAAAAATTCGAGGATTCGAATCTCCACGAAGAACCCACCCCATCAGGGATGGAAAATAGAAGACAAATTTTGTTCCTGAGGGAGATCAGAAACAGGAATGGCATCATTGTCATTCCTATCAGAGTGGTCACCGGTCTCCATGATCGAACACTGGAGAGGCTTCT